GATCCAAGTCGAGGTCGAAGCCTGTTGTTAAAGCCAGGTCCGTTGCATTTTATCTTTCGGTTAAATCGAACCCGATCCAAGTCGAGGTCGAAGTTTGTTGTTAAAGCCAGGTCTATTCCATTTTATCATTTGGTTAAATCGAACCCGATCCAAGTCGAGGTCGAAGCCTATGTCAAGCCAGGTCTATCGAACTTATCATGTCAATTAAATCAAACCCGATCCAAAATCGAGGTTAAGGCCTGTATCAATTACGAGGTTCTTTGCATGTCGGGATCCCGCCTAGTGTCTAGCTGCGTCCATCTCTATCTTGTTTTGTCTGAATAAAATTTTCGCCTTCCCAAATACTATCTTTTGCCTTTGTCTACCCTTTTAGTTCGGCAAGGATACACAAAGTGGGGCAAGCTGTAGACACCGTATGTGGTCCGGCTTAATTTTAATTTATATTATTGTATTTTACTTTATTGTGTTTTATTTTAATTAAAGAATAACATAGGTTTACTTTATTATTAGTTTTAATATAAAGTTTAAATTAACTAAAATTAAAATGTTAGATTTATTTAATTGTTTAATTTTATTAATAAGAAAATAAAAATGGTTTGTTTAGATTTTGTTTTATTATTAAAATAAAAAATAGATAAATAAAAATGATTTGTTTTAATGAAATAAAGATTTTATTTTAACAAAACCTTTGATTTTTAACGGTTTTTTTCCCTCTTTGATTTTTTCCTCACCTAACGTGGCATTTCCTCCTCCTCCCTTTCCTTCCCTTTCTTATTTTAGCATATATCACCGTTGTTTTTTTTAGTATTTAAGGGGAGAGAAGCACACAAGAACCAGGACACAGGGTAGAGAGTTAGAAACTCATCACCTCATCACCATATCTTCTTCTCTCCATTTCTCTTATCCCACCATCACCACTTTTCTCTCGCATACCCACGACCTCCGGCGACGCAAGGGAACGCCGCGAACGACAGCAGCAACAACTTTCTTCTTCACAGCTTCTTCCAAGCTCGGCACTCCGACGATCTCCTCCCCGGTAGTGCATTTTAAGTAAGTATCAAATACGTTGGAAAAGGAAAGACTTTGGAAATCATGCTTTTAATTTGAAAAAGATTCTTTTGTTTCTATCAAAAGATTTTTTTTTGTTTTTTAAAAAAAATGTTTTTTTTTTGTTTTTTTAAGAAAAAAAATGTTTTTTTTAAGAAAAAGTTTTGTTTTTACTTTTTTTTAGAAAGAAAATGCTTTTAGTAAGAATTTTTTTTAAGATAAAAAAAATCTTCTAAATTAATTTTAAATGAGTTTTTGAAAATAAAATAAGGATTTTGATATTTTAAAATTTGTTTTAAAATAAAAGGTTTTCTTTTTCTAATAGGAAGAATTTTTTTTTAAATGAAATAAATAATAACTTAATTTTATTTTAATAAAATATTTTACTTTAAAATTTTGGTTAAAATACGTGAGTTTTATAAAATAAATCTTGTTTAAAAAAATTTGAATTCTTTTAAATTTGGATTCTTTTTATTTAAAACGTAGTTTTTATATAAAATGATTTTTTTTACAAGGTTTATATTTTTTGTGTTACCTTTGTTTTATTTTTTAATTAAAAAAGAATCTTCTGCTGCAGGATTTTAAAGGAGGAGATAAAAACAGAGTATTTTAGAATAAAATCTCATTTAAAATTGTTTTAATGGTTTGGTGGTTATGGTTTTGAAAAAATCTTAACAAAAAATCAGTTTTTTAGCAAATAAGTTTTGTTAAAGTAAATTTGACTTTGTTTTTAAATAATTTTTTTCTTTTAAATAATTTTGTTAATTTCGAAATAAATAAAAAAAGATATTTTTTTTGTTTTAATTTAACAAAATTCGTTTTTTTTAGTTTAAAAAAATAAATTAAAACTTTTGTTTGTGTAAAAGAACATAATGTTTACATCTAAAGATGTTGGCATAGTGGTAAGATGTTTGTTTTTTAATGTACATGACCTAAGTTCGAGTCTTTAAATGCTTCATTTTATCGTTAAAAAATTATTTTTTATTTATTATTTGTTTTTGCTAAATAATTATTTCAAAAACTCTAATGACGGGAATTGGAACCTTCCAATATTCTCCAGGTGTCAAAATTTTTCTAATGGCTTTCGTGCCACTCATACCTATTAATTCATATCTTATAACAAAATGTGAATTAATATAATATGGGACATTTAAAATAAAATAAAAATATTTTTTTTGACCAAATAAAATAATAGGATAATTTTTTGACAAAATGTGGTACCGTTTTCGAACGGCTGTCGTAGGGTGCTAACACCTTCCCTACGCTCAGTCGACTCCCGAACCAACAATCTGTTTTCGCAGACCTTGTTTTTATATTTAGGTGACCAATCACACCTCGTAGATGATTGGTGGCGACTCCAAACCCTTATGTCGAAAGAGACCATTCAGGGGATGACGTTGGCCGCTCCGCGTCGCGATGACGTTGCGACAGTTCAAATATGCAATTGTGATTTAGGAAGAAAATAGTGGTGTAATGTTGTTGTTTGAGGTTTTAACTAACAAGCAATTTAATGAAACTTAACCTCCTTGTCTCCTATCTTAGTTTTGATGCAAAACATGGAAAACACACTATGTTGGGAAAATGCATTAGGCGCGATTCCTGACTTTTCTTGGGATTTGAGTTCTACTCTTTCACTACCGCTTTTGGTTGTTGCAGAGACTAGGGTAACCTACAATCATATTCCTATGTGTGATCACAATCCTAGAGAATTTCTACCAACTCATTTATATTATGGGTCAGAGGGCCTATGTCTAGGACCATGTTTTATGCTTATTCTTGAGTCACATCCCATATTGGTTTCCTATTATTTTACCTAACTCACCTTTCCCAAGGTTGGGCTTTGGTGTATAAATCAAGTTCCCACTGGCCAAATGGAAAAAAGACGTAAAGAGAAGTTTTTAGAAACCAACCGAAAAAAGTGCCAGGCGCAATCTGGCCAAAATCCCGAGCGTGTTGAAAATCAAATCATTTGACTAAGGTATTCCACAAGGAGGTTGATAACTAATTTAGAACATAATTAAATGAAAGTAAATGCACGAAAACATAAATAAAGTATTTTTCATTGAATTTAAATGAATAAATGAGCCGTACAAGGAGTTCTAACTTGACCCTCTTCTCTCTCGAGCGTAAGGGGAGTTGAAACTCGCTAAAGAACTTTAAAAAACAGAATGAACAAAGAACGGAAGTAAGAACTCGAATTAAAAGCAATACGAAAGGTAAAAACGTGAAAAACGAAGAAATGAACAACTAGAACATGAACATAAATCCTAAAAACGTGTTCTACAACTAGATAGCATCTGAAAGAAGATGAAATGAAGCTTGGAAGAGATGATTTGCTGAGGGATGAATGACTTCCTTTTATAGCACCATAGGTTGGTTGAAACTCCCCTCCATTTTAGGTGGAAAAGGGTTGAGATTCACCTAACCACCTCACTTGGACTTGGACTCACGGTTTTGAACATGTGGGAAATGTCCTCCTTTCCCTTCATTAATCAAAACGTGCGTTTTGACAAATTGCCCTCCAAAAATGCGCCGGACGCAATTCTGCAAAAAAATAGAATTATGTTATTTTCTTCCAACTTTGACCGCATTTATCTCATATTTTTCCTAAAGTACCATAGTTTGACTTTTATGCAGAAATAATCTATGTGTGTTCTACTTTAAGAATATGTGGTCTTTTATGGAAAATAATAATGGGAAATGGGTCAAAAACGTGGTCAAACAGGGCTATCGACACATGTTTCTGCAGTAAAAAGTCAACCCTAACACTCGCCATTTTGAGGATGAGGTAATAGAAGTGCGAACTGGGCGACAAGTCAGTCCTTTTGGGGACTTGGTTGACGACCCTGAGGCCAGGATGGGTGGCACCTCTGACATCGAGATGAGGTTCAAGGTGGAGCCATCTAGTGCCGGAGTGAAGGAAAAGGCTATAGAGATGTCGGGCTCATGCTTCGACCGCTGCTGGAGGAAGGCTTCCAAGTTCGTCAGCGCTCTTGGGTCAGCCATCCAACGCTTGTTGGATTATACTGCCGAGGTGGGATCTCACTTGCTTTCTTGCGCATTTATGGATTTACATTTCGTAGTATCATTTTGATTTTCTTTGCCGATGCTCGTAGGCTCATGCTGCAGCTTGCCAGACGACCATCATGGTGAAAGCCGAGCTAGAAGGGCGCGATCTTCTCACTTTGAAGGAGCGAGATGCCTCCTCTGCTGCTTTGGAGGCTGCTGCTGCTCTGGAGGGGAACTCAAAGAGGCTTGTGCTGAGGCTCAGGCGTGGAAATCCACCTCTGTGAAGGGATGTGAATCCCGGAGCGGAAGCAGATCTTCGTTGCTGATTTTCGGGATACAAAACCGAAATTGAAAGAAGGAAAATACAGAGGAAACTCAATACCTTTGAAGAACGTTTCTTCAACAAATTTCTGATGAACACCACCACCGAGCCTTCCTCGTATCCTCTGGGTACAAGATCGTTCTTGTAGGAGAATTTCTTTGGAACGAGAGGGAGA